CTTTACTCTGAAGACATGGCAACAATGTCGCTCCCTAGCCTATTTCTCAGTGGCTGGTCTCCACATTCCTTCCCTCCAGACAACACCTCTGCCCAGAGAGGAGCTCTTAGGAAAGACATCGGCAACACTGGGAGGGAAAGGAGGTGGCTTAGTTTGCCCCATGCTAGGCCTGGCTCCCAGTGTGCACCTCCTGACCTTTGTCCTCTCCACTCCAGAATGGAGAATCTTCAATGCCCAGTCTCACAAGGGAGGGAAGTTACCTTTAAGTTTATTCCAGGAATCCCACTTGGCCTTGCCTTTGAGGTCCAAAAGCCCGGGCCGATCTGCAACAATGGAAGGGTAGACAGTAGATTTGTTACAAGTTCTGATGGAGAACTTTATCAACTTTTCTTCCATGAAAAGCAAGGCATTTCCCCTCCCAAAACAGGTGTTCTCTGTGTAGCCCTGGTTATCCTGAAACTCACTCTGTAGGCTAGGCTGACCTTGAACTCAGAGATCTACCATGCTAGGATTAAAGGTGCATGCCACCGCCGCACAGAACCAAGACTTTGTTCAATGCACAGGCTCCCAGTGTCTCGCACGGAGGGTTCTATCGTAAGAAACACAGATGAATTTATAGCAACCCAAATTTAAAACAGAAAAAAACAGGATAAAAAAACGTTCTTAGGGCTTTTTTGTAAGTTAAATGTTTAAAACCCAAAGTATCACTTCAAAACACTATTCTTTGGGACTGGGGATGAGGGTTAGCTGGTTGCCCTTCCCCAGCATGTACAAAGCCTGGGTGATCTTCAGCACAGTATAAATAGGGAGTGGTGGCATACTGCTATAATCCCAACACCCAGGAAGTAGAGGCAGGAGGATCAGGAGTTCAAGGTCATCTCAGCTACACAGTGAGTTTTAAGCAGTCCTGGCTGCTTGAGAACTTGTCTCAAAAAATAAAATACCATATACCCGTGACACCAGCCACTCCACAGACTGAGGCAGGAGGATTGGAAGTTCAAGGCCTGCCTGGCCTACAGAGAGAACTTAAAGCCAGATTAGGTGACTTAGTTAGATTTGCTTCAAAATCAGAAAAATATTAAATAATGAAAGGCCTGGGGGTGTGGCTCAGGTGGCAGAGTGCTTGCCTAGCATGCCCCAAACCCTGGTCCCATCCCCAGCACCAGATAGAGATAAACCAGGCCTGGTGATCCACGTCTGCAAGGTGCAGGCAGATCAGAAGTTCAAGGTCTTTTTTTTGGCTACATAGTGGATTTGCGTCAATCTAGGCTACATTCGACTCTGTTTTAAACAAAACAGAGGAGGAGAAAAAAGAGTGAAAAAAGACCAAAAATTATCAAACCAAACCAAACTAAAATGTTAATTAAATTAAACAAACATCCATTCACATGGTTCAGAACCCAAAAACTCTGAAAAAATAATGGGTCTGGAGAGGTGGTTCAGCAGTTAGAGAGCACTGGCTGCTCTTCCAGAGGACCCAGGTTCAGTTCCCAGCTCCCACATGGCGGCTCACAACTGTCTGTAACTTCAGTTCCAGGGGAGCTGGCACCCTCACAGACACACATGCAGGTAATGCACCAGTGGACACGACATTAAAACAACAAATCCCGCAGACAATTCTGAGAAGAAATACTATTAGGTTCCCCCCACCCCCTTTCTCAGTGGCCCGGTTTCTCTCTATTGTCATCAGTGTTCCCGTGTCCTTGCGGGTGACTTGTCTTTATAACCCGGCCCTGTTTTCCCAACACATCGCTCAACTCCTTGTTGATTTGTAGGTTTTTTTTTTTTTTTTTTTTTGGTTTTTTGAGACAGGGTTTCTCTGTGGCTTTGGAGGCTGTCCTGGGAACTCACTCTTGTAGACCAGGCTGGCCTCGAACTCACAGAGATCCGCCTGCCTCTGCCTCCCGAGTGCTGGGATTAAAGGCATGTGCCACCAATGCCCAGCTGGTTTTTTATTTTTAATTGAAGGCCAAGCTTCTTTCAGAGCACCTGTCCTTCCTAGGGAAAAATTTCATTGCTAATGGCAGAAACTGCAGAGCGTACAGCTTGGGAACGGAGTCTGAGGGAAAAGTCCTGGGAACCTTACAGGAACCCAGGAAGGTTCTACAAAGGAACCCTCAGAGCCCCAGAGGAAGATTCCCTGTCAATGTGTTCTCCCTAGATGGAAATGCATGTTCACAACACTCAGTTATATGTGTGTGTGTGTGTGTGAATATATTAGGGTATACTGTACATGCCACTGTGCACGTGTGGATGCCAGAGGACGACTTTGGGAGTCAGTTCGTTCACCAAGTGGGTCCGTTAGGCAGCCAGGCACGGCAGCAAGAGCATTTACCCGCTAGCCATTTCACTGGTTCTTGCAACATTTAATTCAGCAGCCACCTGCCCCATGCGGCTACTGAGCCTTTGAGACACAGCTCATGCAGCTACAGACTGACCTTTGTGCATTGCTTATGGTTAACCATTTTCAGCTAAAATCCATTTAGCCACATGTGGCTAGTCTTTGTCATACTGAATAGTACAGCCGAAAAAACCAGACAACCGTTTCCTGATAGGGGCGTGATAGATTCCAAGCAAAAAAACCAGACAACTGTTTCCTGATTGGGGCGTGATAGATTCCAAGCCAATCTCCTGATGCTCAAATGCCAGAAGTATCTCTACCCTGGCTAGAGGCCAGGCTCTGACAAAATACTATCTGGCAGCAAAGCATCCCAGCCTCCCTGCTCCCTTCCCCACTTCCTTCTTCTTCCTGGATGTTTATAAGCCCTCTGCTCTGACCTGCTTGGCCTGCCACCCCAGCTCCAGTGGAATTGGAAGCCACACTTGGTGGGTGGCTGAGAGAGACATTTTCTTCTATGCTGTCATGAGACCTTGCTAGAAGGCACTGTGCTGCTACCTCAGTATATAGCCACTGCCTGAGGCGGCAGAAAAGACAGTCTTATAGACCAAGGTAATCTACAGCATGGTTTCAAAATCTGTGCCAAGGGGCTGGAGAGATACCTCAGCCAATACAGTGCTTACCTTGAAGTATAAGGACCTGAGTTCTCTTCCTAGAACTCATGAGGAAAAAGATGTGTGCGTGTGTTTGGGGGGGGGGCACACAGGGCAGTCTGTGTTTATAATCCCCGTGCTGGAGAGGTAGAGACAGGCAGATCACTGGGGCTTGCTGGCCCACCAACCTAGACTACCTGGCAAGCCCCAAGCCAGGGGGGAGACCCTGTCCCAAAAAATAAAAATGAAAAGCAAAACACCAAAGGTGGATGGTGCCCGTGGAGACAACACTCAAGACTGTTCTCTGGCCTCCACGTGCAAATGCTCTGGCCCGTACAAAAATGTCTGCACCAAGATTTTCAGAGAGGGAAAAAGTCATCTGAACGGTGCAGACTTTGGCTGGTATCACTTCCATCTTCCCCCAGGGAACCAGACGCGGCCCTGCTCATCTATTAGGCTTGGGGTGGCTGCCAAGTGCTCGATGACCCTGTTCATCTGATGGGAACAGGAGGCTCAACAAGGCTGCTACTGAGCAACAGGTTTTAGAGCAAGGATAGCCTTTGCTTCCTTCACTGTAGACACTGAGATAATCGGTAAGGCCTTCTAAAACCAAGATTGAATCTGCTCCCAGAGTCACACAAAGAATTTAGGAAGATGGTCTTTACAGTTGAAAAACCTCCCACCAGGGATCTGTCAACCGCACCCCACTGAACCTTAGGGCCTCAGGCAGTTGGAAAGTGAGGTTCTCAAGACTCCTGGGCTGCCGAGCCAACTCGGTCTGCTCTGATGAGAAGTCGGGTATACTTACCCGTATTTACGTCACCCACGGTAGCTTGTTTGTAGTGGCTGTAGATGAAGAGCATCTCTTCGTCGCTTGGCTGCGTCTTGAGGCGCTTCACCTCCTCAGCAGCTTTGTCAAATTCAGCCTAAGTGGGAGGGAGAGGACCAGGGAAGGATGGGAAATAGCGGCACTCCTTCAACTCTCTCCTCTCACCAAGATTCGATAAAGGCCCACCTGTCCACTCATGCAATTACAGTCCTGTGTCAAGTGCTGGGAATAGATTTGGCACACAGTGGATCTACATGCCCTTCAAAATTTTCCTGCCCAAGGGCCTGACCACCGCTGGCCCAAATCCAGCAATTGCTGGGGTTCCAGCAAAGCCCCGACCTCTGATCAGCGGGAATTGACGGGGCAGTGAGGGAAAACATGGCGTGATCAAAACAGTCGATCAGGGATCAGGCACGAATGCAGAGGAATACAGGGTCAGTAGCTCACTGGTCCCTTCCTACAGGGGCCTGGAGTTCAGCGTTGACCTCTGTCCCAGTGCCCAGATTAGGGAGAGACAAGTGGGAGGAGCCAGGGATCACCCTCTCGGTCCCGGACCGGGGTCTCCACTGGAGGGAAGGAAAAGGTTTCTGGGCCATCTCACATAGTCACATCTCTTTTGTACAGGGGCACGCCAGGCACAAGACTGATTACTTCCCCCGACCTCCAGGCTCCCCAGCCAGAAAGGGCCCCCACGAGTCCCCCACAGTTCCATTCCGGTCCTTCCCAGAATGGGATTCAATCTTCTCTGCCTTTCATCCTCTTATTCCATCCTTCTTTGGAGGACCCTAGGCATGCTTCACCCAGGAGCCCAGCCCACCCACAACTCTCCAGCAGTTCCGGCGTGGGTGGCAGTTTCAGAAACCTGCAAGAAAAAAAGTTCCGCTCCCCAGGCTATGAGCTGGGCTCGGATCCCAGAGCAGAAAGAAGCCTAGCATCCGGGAGAAGACACCCTGCGGGATTCCTGCAGATTGATAGTCCCAAACCCATTGAATCTTCGCAGCCCGGCAGGGCACGCGCAGTACCTGAGACATTCTGGCGAGGTGACCTGGATCTCGAAAGCGCGGGAGCAAGTGCAGGCAGAGAGCACTCCAGTTCTAGAGTGCACAAGGCAGCTCCTTTAAAAGCCCTGCCCTTGCGTTCCAACAGAGCTCGGGCGAGCGCCTGCAGCCAATCAGAAGTCGGATCTGCTCTCAGGGGCGTGTCCACCTAGGCTGGAGCTCCAGCCCCTCCCTGACCTAATAGAGAGCTTATTGCGCACGCGTAGGGAGGAGCCGCGGGGCACGCCGGGAGCAGGTGGGCAGCCCTATGGGGTTTGGGGAGGGTGTATGGGGGGTGAACTCGCGTTCAGGGCGACTGAACAGGAGCTGGGCGGGAACTGAGGTCGCGTGGAATAGGGTGCTGCTCCGGGGTGGAACTCAGTACGGTTCTTTCCCTTTAATGCCATGCTGGTTGAGAAGAAGCCGGAAGTTGTATCTCTGGTCTAGTAACTTCTCAGTCTGGAAAATGGGATGCTGCGCCACCTTTTAGGGAATCTAGGAAAGAACCCTCGGTGCCCTGCTCGACGGTGACCCGTTCTTTGGACCAAGCCCATGCCCAAGCACTTTTTTGACCGGTGTATATTGCCCTTAGTTTTCAGTCCTGCTCCCCTAACGCGGTCCAGTGTTCCACTAGCGCTTTATAAAAGCCGGGGCAGTGTGATATGTGTTGCACAAACCCTTGTTACGTGAATAACCTTTCTTCTCAAAGCTTTTTTAAAAACTTAGCCCGATGAGTGCAGGCTTCTAGACCTTGGGCACGCAGCAGTGGACAGATGAATCTCTGCAGCCTTAGAGCTTCTTATAGTTAATAGTTGGCATACTAAATACAAACTTTTTTTTTTAAAGAGTTGGAAGTTTTAGCTGGTGTGTGTGTGGGGGTGTGTGTGTGGAGAGAAGATACAGTTTGAGTAATTCCTGCAAGTCAGGGAAGGAGCATTCTAGCAGAGAGCAGGGGTGAGCAACGGTTACTGTGGAAATTGATAATCTTTGAGTTCTAAGTCTCGTTAACAAAGAAATCTAAAACTGACTCAGAAGGAAGCCTGAGGACAATTTCATTGAAGTTTGAGGTGAAAGGCAACCGGGCATACGAGCTGAAAATACTGATACCCACTAGTAAGAAAGGAAATGGAGGAAAAGTCATGCCTTTTAAGCTAGGCCTGAGAATAAACAGTGAGTTAGAAAGCCCCCAGTAGGGCGTTGGGTTCAGAGGGCATTGAATTCCAAGCATCCTGTCTCATAGCAAAGGATTGCACCAGAGGTATGCGTTTAGACATAGAAATAGAGATAGCCTTTTTTGTTTGTTTGTTGTTTTTTTGAGACAGGGTTTCTCTGTATTGCTTTGGAGACTGTCCTGGAACTCGCTCTGTAGATCAGGATGGCCTTGAACTCACAGAGATCCGCCTGCCTCTGCCTCCCGAGTGCTGGGATTAAAGGCGTGCGCCACCAATGCCCAGTTTAGACATAGTTTATTAAGAAGGGAAATGCAGGGAATGAGGGAGTAAAAGGGAATGAGGCTGGAGGACTAAGAGGTAGGCTGGCTAGGTGATGGCAGAGGTTAGTCATTCTGGGGATGCAGGCATTCCTTCTGATGGAGATGGAAGCCATCCTGATTTGCAGCAGAGATGATGACATGCACACCTGTCTTATGTAAGCATGTATGGGAAGCTTAGCTCCATGGGAGGGGGAGGAGGGGAGGCATCACAAGGAGATGGAAGAGTGTAGTGGGCCAAAAGGAGAATTTTCTGCCATTGGATGCCAAGGTGGAAGAGAAGGGTGATAGAAAGTTCTCTGGAGGTTATTTAAAAAGAGAGATTGTTCCTTTTCAGTCTCCTAATGTGTGGCAAGAGGCCTGGGCCACAGATCGGTACCGTTTCTACCCTCCACCTCATCATAACTGTAATCATTTACAAAGGGAGGGCCGGGCCTGTTACAGCTCGGTGCTGGATAATGTCTGCCTAATATATCTGAGGTTGTGAGTTGGATTCCTAGCTCTGCAAAATAAAAAACTTAAGCCCAAGCTTTTAGATGTCACCAGCAGTGTCGGTCAGGTCTTGTGGGATGTTTGAGAAGGAGAAATTTTAATTTCAGGGAAGGTTCACAAATTGCAGTTTGTGAACCACTTTGCTCAGAAAGCAAGAGTAACAAAAAATTTTGGAGTTCAGTTTGGAGAAATTGCATGTGAAGTATAAAGAGTGTGGATTTCTTCCGTGGCGGTGATTTAGGGGACCCTGTCTCCTCAAGGGTCGGATGAATAGCCATGGTAGACTTGTATTCCGTTCTGTAATTTCCTTGTCACTTTTGAAAGATCATGGCACCCATGGTGATGCAGGCAGGAGATCAGTGCAAGTGCTGCCGTTACCTTGACAGTCAGTGTGTAGTTCAAGACTGATCTGTTGGGTGCTTGTTAGCAATATGATTCACTGTCTTAATTCCATGTAGTGGTTCCAGATGAGGGCACAACGATTATTTCAAGTGGGTGACAGACATGCTGAAGGGTGGTGGGTGCTGAGTCGTCTAGAGCCAGAGTTGAAGAGCACTCCTTGTTTTGGGATCTCCCCTGGACTGAGTTTCAGAGTAAGTGAGGGCATGCTTCTCTGCACACTTCCTGTCCCTTCCCTTGCTGCTCAGTGACTCCTTGTTGGTGTTATCTATTGGAAGTGTCATCTAAAGCCCTGCCCTTAGTGCTCCTACCCCAGCCAGTTGGATGGCATTTGGAGGCCATAGAAAAACTTTGGCAGTAATTCCTCAGGTACCTTCCATTTGGTTTGAGAGACCACATCTCTCCTTGTCCTGGAACTCACCAAGTAGGCTAGACTGACTGGGCCAGTGAGCCCTAGGGGGTCCTTTTGTTCTGTCTCCCCAGCACAGGGATTATAAGCATATGCCACCATGCCTGCATGTTTTGCACGGTTTATGGAAATTGTTCCCATGCTTTCCTGACTGAGGCTTCTCAGCCCTTGGAATTTAATTTTTAAAAATAAGCTTATGGAGCTGGCAAGGTGACCCAGCAGGGAGAGGTACTTACCATGCAACCCTGACAACCTGACTCCAGCCCTCAGAACCTGTATAAAGGTGGGGGGAGAGAACCAAGTCCACCAAATTGTCCTCTGACTGCCACATACATGCTGTGGCATACGTGAATCTGCACTCATACCCATGGTTCTTGCACACATATACAATAATAAATATGTTAAAAATAAACTGCTCAGCATATTGGGGTTAGTCATATGAATTCTTAACAATTACATATGTCTACAAAACTAGAAAAAGCCATTGCTTTTAATAATGCTGAGAAATCATGGAGTCCTCAGCTCTGTTCTGCCCTCATGAACAACTCTCAAGTTATGATTTTACTTTCTGCAGTCTGCTCTCTCCCATACATAAGCTAAGGAGAGTAGAGTCACCATGCACCAGCCACTGCCTCATCTCTTGATGCTTACTCTTCCTAGGAACTCAACAAATTCTTATTAACTGAGTAAAGCCTATTCTCTGTAGGCTGTGCTCCTTCTGGCTAGACTTACTGGCACACACTGTGATCCTAGGACTAGGGAGGCTGAAACAGGAGCATCGTGAGAGTTCGATGACAGCCTGGGCCCCACACTAAAACCTTGTCTCAGAAAGCAAACCAAAGGACTTGGGGGAGTGGTTCAGTTGGTAAAGTGTCTGCTTTGAAAACACAGAGACCTGAATTAAGATTTACAGCCCCCACATAATGGTTAAAGTTTATTTTCCAAACTGAGGAAGGTGATACATGCAGATCCTGGGAACTTGCTAGGTGGCCATTGTAGCCAATTGGTGAGCTCTGGGTTCAGTGAGAGATCCTGTCTCAAAAAATAAGGTGGACAATGACTATGGAAGTTATTCAGTGTCAGCCTCTGGCCTACAAACACACACACACACACACACACACACACACACACACACACACAGAGAGAGAGAGAGAGAGAGAGAGAGAGAGAGAGGCACTCATGTACACAAGTATGCTCCTACATACAAAGGTATCTCTCTCCTCTCTCTCTCTCTCTCTCTCTCTCTCTCTCTCTCTCTCTCTCTCTCTCTCTCACCAACAAAAAATAGCAACAAAACAAAACAAACAACGTTCTTTTTAATTAGCGGCCAACTTGGAATACAACTGAATTTGTTAGAGCTGATTAATTACGAGACCATGGGCTGGAACAAAGTAGATGAACTCTAGCCCAGGGCCTGTGCAATCTTTTGGTAGCACTCCCAGCTTTGGAAGCAGAGGGCTTAGGGAGGATGGGGAACCTGACCCAGCCACCTTGTCAGCCAGTCAATAGCAGCTGTCAACGTTGCAGCTTGTTCTTGTGGGTGTGAATCTGTGAGGTGTCATTCTGTCTGTCCACAGGCTTCCCTTGCTCTCAGCTTAGTTAGATTAACCAGGTTTGCCAGGTATGACCTTCCTACAGTGAGGCAGGCCTCATGGCACATGAGAAAGCAGTTGGTTACCCCTATAACTGCCACGCCACTATTTGACCAATGGACATATTTTGCCAGGCAGGTCGGTATTGTAGCATGCAGGATCCAACACTGGCTGAGACAGACTGCTAAGGTCTTTTCTCATGCAGCGGCTTGCGTTACACCTCCTGGCACTGCATAAGCCAGCCATCAGGGAGAGTTTCTCAGTCACTTTGAGGCCGATTTCTGTTTCTTACTCTTAGTTTAAGCCAGTTGGACAAGACACATGAACAGGCGAAAATTGTTCCCACCCAGTGAGTGTCAAGAGTGGTTTAAGATTAAGTTTCTTGCTCTAAAGGAAACCCATAATTTCTAAAAGTAACCCAATTGTTAAGAAAAGAGTTAAGAACAAACTACTGCCTGAAAGAGAGCTTTCATGGAAGGCAAGGGGCAGTGTCACCAGGGCAGTTAACATGCTGCTTGGTTCCCATTCTCTTGGACTGACTCCTCTGGCCAGGCTCCAGCAGAGCTGCGAGGAGAATAGTGTGTTTTAAAGGGATTGGGAAGTACTTCTGGGAGCGGAGTGGAGAGAGAAAGGAGGAGGCCGGGGAAAGACCCCAGAGAGTGGGGTGGGAAGGTGAGCTTGACATTTTCACGACTGCAGCAGTAGGAGAGGCTTGTCAGTAGAGTGCTGGACGATCCTCCCCTTTGCCGTTCCTTCTGCAGATGCTTATGTTAAGAGGACTGCGTCAGGGCAGGTGTGAGAGGCGAGTGTGTGTGGCACACGTCTGTTATCACGCCCCTCCTCCCCTCTTCTGTACCCAGGCAGCTTGTGTGGTG